GACTGCAGGGCTCTGGCCATGCCCCTCCCATCCTTCCAGGCTTGGAGAGTCTGTCCCTGATGCCCACACAGCCCCCCAGCCTGAGGCTCCTCCCCACCCCCTCCCACCGCCCCAGGCAGCTCTTCTTCAACGGGACAGAGCCCCTGAGGGCTGGGGACCCACTGCCGTGGCCTGCACTGGTGACAACCCTGGAGACAGTGGCCACAGAGGGAGCAGAGGCCTTCTACACGGGGGCGCTGACCCACAGGCTGGTGGAGGATATAGCCAAAGAAGGTGAGAGGTTCAGGGTCTGGGCACCAGGCAGGCCTCCAGGAGGGCACTGTGCTGGGGGTGCCCACCGATGCCCTAGGCTCTGGGCTCCCTGATGCATGCACCCAGACCAGCCCCGAGATCAAAGCTCTTGGGGAGGGGGGACAGAAGTGGCTGCGGCAGGCCCACCTCCCCAGGTGCCTGGCCTCTGGAAGCTTCTCTGTTCCCCTACCCAGTGTCCTGCCTCTGGTCCCTGCCCACCCATCCCATTGCCCAGCCCTTTCGCCCTCATCGCCAGCTCCGTGCCTCAGTTTTCCTAGTTCAGTGGTTCTCAACTGAACCTTCCTAATGCCGAGACCCTTTAATACAGTTTCCCATGATGTGGTGACCCCGTATGTAGGCATATCTGCATGTGGGTGGACCAGCCTGGAGACGGATATAGGAACCATGTCTCGGTTCCTATGTGTTTTCTTAGGATGACCTTAGATGGTCTTAGGTGACCCCAGGTTTAGAACCACTGCCCTAGATGGGCCTGTTGGGTCCGGGGTGCCTTGCTCCTCTAATGCCTGTGTCTCACCCCAGGGAGCCAGCTGACCCTGCAGGACTTGGCCGCCTTCCGGCCTAAGGTGATGGACGCCCTGGCCTTGCCCCTGGGGGACTACACACTGTACACATCGCCGGCTCCTTCAGGGGGTGCCCTTCTTGGGTTCATCCTCAACGTGCTGCAAGGTGAGGCCCTATCCCCCGCTGTCCTGCCCCAGGGAGCCAGCCCAGGGCCTCCCATCTGCGACCTGGGGTCAGCAGACGGATGGGGCTGAACCCAGGGCAGCGGGGAATGAGGGGGCAGGGAAGGGCTGTTGGGAGGCTTAGGAAGGTCCTCCGCCAACACTGGGTGGGCCTGTCGGGGCTGAAGGTCCAGGCCAAGGCAGGGTGGATACCAAGCTAACACAACACCACTTACTGTCTTATAGCTCTGGAATTCATAATCTCGGGGTCCGTGGGGGCCTGGTTCCCTCAAGGCCTCCAGGGGAGCCCCTTCTCTGTGGCTTCCTGCTTTTGATGGCTGCCAGCACGCCCTGGCTTTTGGCCGCATCCCTCCCTCCATCTTCACATGCTTTCTCTTCTCTGTGTGCCTGCCTCGTGACGCACACGCATGATGGCATGTGGGGCCGCCTCTCAAACGCCTCGAATTGGTCCCATCATCGTCTTCGGCGGCAGACACGAACCTCTCACGTTCTAGAATGACCCCAAAACTCCGCCTGCCGCCCTCGGGTCGATTCTGTCTCCCAGCGACCTTGTAGGATGGAAGTAGAGCTGCCCCACGGGGGCTTCAAGGTCGTAAACTCTTCACGAGAGCAGACGGCCTCATCTCTCTCCCCCCAGAGCAGCTGGTGGGTTTGAACTGCTGACCTTTATGTGAGCTGCCCAAGGACACGGGTCTTTCAATAGGGTGTCAACCTATGCCTCAATATAATTCACCCTCATGGGGACCCCCAGCTGTTCCCCTCTCCCGCCCACCCCCCCACCAGGGTTCAACTTCTCCGCGGAGTCCGCTGCCAAGCCACAAGGGCGTGTGAGCATGTACCATCAGCTGGTGGAGACTCTCAAGTTTGCCTGGGGACAGAGGTGGCGCCTATGGGACCCTCAGAGCCACCCGGAGGCCCAAGTAAAGTGGTGGCGGGGTCAGCAGCTGGAGGGGGGCTGAGTCTCCTGGAACACTCAGTTCTCAGGACCCCACTAACCTCATACCTGCGTTGCTCCCCACCAGAATGTCTCCCTGGACCTGCTGGGGAGTGCCTTGGCTCAGAACATACGCCAGCAGATCGACCCCCGGGGAGACCACCCGCTCAGCCACTACGGCCTGGCTGGGGCCCGGGGCCTGCAGACGGGCACTGCCCACGTGTCCGTACTGGGGGAGGATGGCAGTGCGGTGGCTGCCACCAGCACCATCAACACACCGTGCGTGTGGGGGGCCCTCCCCGGGGCGGGCTTTGCTCCCTCCACCTTAGGCCCCCAGCTCAGACCCCGACCCCACCCCACCCCCGGCTTCCCCAGCAGCCTTTCTCCTCTCCTCTCCCTTCTGGCTCAGTAAGGCTGCCGGTGGACGGCCCTGAGCCCACCCAGAAAGACACCTGACAGGGGGTGTGTGGGCAGTACCACGGGTGGTGATGGCGGTGGGGGAGCACTGTGCGGAGGGCAGAGATGGGGAGACCCAGCTCCCGACTCCCCCCATACCTAGGCTCTGCTCCCTGTCCGCAGCTTCGGAGCCATGGTCTACTCCCCCCAGACTGGCGTCCTGCTGAACAATGAACTCCTGGACTTGTGCTGGAGACACCCCCCGGGCGCCGG